GAAAGCGATTTCTATACTTTCCTCAGACAAGGAATGTTTTTCATCCACAAGTGGGGAATACTTTGGCCCCAATCTTTGAAATCCACGACCCTCATACAGGGCTCCATCACCACCCAAAAGGAAACTATATGTAAACAAAAGTTAATTCATATTGTAACATATCATCCTCTCAAACTGCCTTGAAAAGAAAGATGGGCTTTTCAATTGAACTATCATCAAGTATATTGTAAGGGTCTTATTTTTTAAAAGGATTGTATTTCAATTCGAAAGACGATTTTATTTTATTTTGAGGGAATGTTATTTTACTTAGAAAGATAGTTTTATTTTTGTAAATATAAATATGATTTTAACCCTATATAATATGATATGATTTATAATATGATATAATATGATTTTTATGAGCGTGGGGGGAAGGGAAACGCGTGCAATAGTTATATATTGCACCGTACGTGATAAAAATTAAACGCTTAGGAAGCGTGTGCAATAGACGTATATTGCACCGCTCGGGGTTAGAATAGGCGTTAGGGATTTCGGCCCACGTTTACTTTTACCTAACGTCGACTTTCGGCCATCGAGGCATTATCCAAATTTATTTCCGTTCGATTACTAGGTCTGTGATAGCTGTGATGAAAAGAGTTATATTGGAGTAAGCTTTTGCTTGACTCATACTCATTTCTGAGCTTAGACTTAGTAATAACGTTAAATCGAACCTTGGACGAAATTACCCGCGCTTAGACTGTTTTATCCGGCAAAATTTATTTGTAAGGTGCGTTTTTCGACATCCCGGTAATTTTAACCTCACAATATTAATGTATAGTAATGTCTGTTTTTAGGTATCCATTAATAAGTAGCCTACTGTAGTATAGGTACTAAATAAACAAAACTAACTTCAAATATCACAAAAGAATTAATTGTTCAAAGAATAATTAAATAGTTAGTTATCATAAGAATAATTAGTTGTTATTGTTGAGACTTTCACTCCAACTTTTTTGTTCAAGAAATTTTAAGGAATGTAGGTAGGCAGGGGCGGCTCCAGAGTGGAGTTTTGTAGGTATTTCAAAATTATAAATAAATAAAGAAATTTAATTATATGTAAACAAAGGGAAAGCGTTAAACCTCATTATTTTGCATTTACATTTTAAAACTACCCCCTTTTTGCTCCACAAAGCCATTTGCTCCATCAAACATCTCGTCCCCAATCAAACTCCTTCTTGATCCTTTGTCAGGCCTACCAAAAAAGATATTCCTGGAGCCGCCCCTGTAGATTCCATATACTTTGTAGTCAGTCGGTTTTATAGCCGTGCACATGCTTAAATCTTTTTGTGTCGTGTCTCGTGTTGTATATGTACTTTACTCGTCCATGCCTCGCACCCACGACACAAAAAGTAAAACATAATACTTACTTAATCGCTTAGGAAAAATTGACATGTATGTCAATCAACACACATATCAATACCGGGATGTGAACCGGGCTAAGGTTCAGGGGGCTCACGCTTGCGTGGGTACGTGGCCTGGCGACCACGCGGACCCCAGCTCTCTCCAGTGGGGAGGCAATTGCCCGGTGTTAGAACCGGCACTTCAGGTAAACCATAGTTATGGCCGACTGGGAAGGCCAGCCACCTTGAAAATTAATAAGGGGAGAGTCCCCAGTGACATTCCCTCCATTCAGGGTGGAGGGGTGTTTAGCTCTCAGTGATGCCGTTAATTCCGCCTCTCCTCACCTACCTGTAACTGTGGTTCTTGGGCTTGTCCTGCCTGTTGTGTTCGACTGACATTATGTGAGGCATATCCTCGACTCTGGAAGTAGCCTCGTCCTGGGAGGTGAAAATCTAGCCCCCAAAGGGGAGGCAACTGCTCGGTGTTGGTATCGGCATTTCAAGTAGGCCACAGTCATGGACGACTGGGCTGGTCCCAGTGACATTCCTCCATCCAGGATGGCGGGGTGTTTAGCTCTCGGAGAGATGGAAGTGCGCCATCAATCTCCCACCTACCTGTGTCTGTGGTTCTATGGGTTTCGGCCCGCTTGTTGTGTACGACCAGCATTCAGTGTGGCAAATCCTCGACTTTGGAAGTAGCCTTTCCTGGAGGTGAAATCGGGCGAGTACCCGTAGCTCACGGGGACACTCTAGGGCTCTAGGGGACGTAACTTTCCGCAGTGTGAGGGTAACGGTTGTAGGCACTTCTCCAGCCAATCCCTGTCTCTGAGCACGGAAGGTATGGTTATCTGGAGTGTGGGGGGTTCTCCCTGGAACCTCAATTGAGTTAAGGGTGTCGCCACCTTTGGTGGATAGGTTCATCCGGGTGGGTCCCACTTCTATACCTGCCTCCTTTTGGGAAACCTTGATGGCCTGGCAGTGATGTTGGGTCTGACGGGCAAACGAAGTAGATCGGGTGCTGGGTCCGAGCCCGCCAGGGATGACCGGGGATCTATCGCTCTGGTTATCTCTGGTTTCCCAGCAACTGGGTAAGGCCTCTATTGGGTAGTGGTGTAAATAGCTGACGGTCCCCTTCCTTCTGGCTATGATGGCGGGTTCTGCCTGTCAGGGATTAGATAGGTCCCGAGTGTTGCTTGCACTATGGCACGTCCAGGGCACTCCTTTTAGTCCAAAGGGCTTCGGCCTTGTTGGAACTTACTTGGGGTGGGCGTGGGAATAAAGTAGCCGGTATCCCTGGTTAGGATTGAGGGGCAACCCTCTCTCCGATGGGCTATTTGCCATTTGGCAGCCGGTGAGTGTGATGACCTTAAGTCATCCTCCTATGGTGTCGCAAAGGTTGGTGCGTCAGTTCCAATCGGCATCATAGGTCCCGGGTTAAGTAATAGGACGCAATGGTCATTTTGTTGGGTGTGTCGGGGAGTTTCGGCTCTTCTGACAAAGAACATAATAAAAAAAAAAGAATGTATATGTACTATTTATTAATTGACACAATGAAAATGAAGAAATCCCGTGAAAAATTTTAATACCACAGTATTTTAGTTTAGGCCAGGCGCACACAGGCGATTTTGAGTCGCGCAACAGTTGCCCGACTAAAATGTTCAACATTGTTTTAAATTGGAGTGCGCACACGAAGGAAACAGTCTGGGGACAGTCGCGCAACTGTTGCAACCGATGTTCCCGGACCCAATTTGCCAGCGACTGCTCTGCGACTGAATTGTTGCGGGACTATCGCTCCAGGTTTGGTATCAATTGAACCAAGTGTAGATGCGCACACATGCAACTAAATTGTCGCTGTGTCGCTTAGTCTCACCCGAGGAATTCAACTACTCGTGGCCAGATCTGTCACTAGTGTTTGCTCTCTTTTTGTTGTATGAAGTTTTAAGAAAATTACTTAAATACGAGTTCCGTGATGAGGATGTCAAACAATTATAGTAATTGATTAAACAATTATAGTAATTGATTAAGTTGACAAGAGGCCGCCTTTATATTTAAAGTAATTGAAAGACTGTTCGGATATTAATTTGAAGAAGAAGTTGTGGGATGAAGTGTCCTTGGCAGTTACTAAAGATTAAAACAACCTAACACAAGAGGATAAAATCAAAAATCACAACTTCAACAACAAAGCACATACTACGGCTGTATCATTGAAATCCATTCGGCACTGTTAACGCAGTTAACGAATGTAATGTCTAACTTACGTCTTAAAGACTTTAGATTCACGACTAAAAAGTTGCCTGTGTGCGCACCCCAGCTCAACTGTTGCTAGACTTCAGAGTCTCCGAGTCGGTTGCGCAACAGTCCCCCGATTAGTCGGGCAACTGTTGCGCGACTCAAAATCGCCTGTGTGCGCCTGGCCTTAGTGTATGACTACACCCGACAATGGAGTAATCTCCGATACGGCCGTAGTGTTATGACCAAACAAGGATTGCGAAGACAGCAAGTACCTAAAAATTTCTGCTACACTGAAAAATCATGCAAGTTTTAGTTTGTATCTTATTTTTTTAGGCCAAGAAACTGGGTCAGTTTTAAGATTCTACTATAGTTTTCATACTTATGCTTGATGTCTGGTACCCCCTTTTCTTGCTGGTGACGAAGTTGAAGTTCTTTTACTTTAGCAACACATTCTTTTTCAGTAAAGCATTGTTCTGTTCCTGTCCATGTTAATACCACTTTTTCGACCTACAAGGCAATGCAGTTAACCTCTTAAGGGAAAATGATTATTTCATGTAAAGAAACTACTAGTTCAGCGATTCCTACTTTTTTGTCTGGAGACCCAACTTCATTCTGGGCTTTTTGCAACTCCCATATTGAATAATTTAATACTCTCAGTACAGTTAGTTGTTGTTTAAATTTAATGAAAAAGACTCAAACTTTATTAGTACACCACTCTTCACATGTTACTTTATTTTTAAAATATGTGACCATATATTTTATTTGTAATAAAAAGTTTAGTGGTAATAAGTTAAAATCAAAGAAAGATCATTAACTTACAACAAAACACTTTGAGAGTGTTAAGTTTTCACACCCAAATCAAAATATAAACTACTAAGGGTATATACATTGTTTGGAAACCACTGGTCTAATTGTTAAAAATAGGTCTGTAAAATCTAAAAAAATATATTGGTTTAAGTTTTTCCTTTATGGATGACTTTTTTAATAAACCATGATTATTACCGTTTGTTCTAGCTTGAAAAATAAAAATAAATTTCAGATGAATTGATGTACAGTAGACTCCCTCTTATCCGGACACCTTTAACTGGACTACGCTCGGTGGAAATGACATCTCTTTAACCGGACAATTTTTAACAGCACATCAGTTTAACCGGTCTAGATCGGTAAGATCACGCGTCTTAATAATGTTCTCCTAAATTTAAATCAAATATGTATAGCCTACAGTGTGCATTTAAACGGTCTGTTTTAACAAGTTTTTGGGGAAATCGGTTTAACCGGAAAAACCGCTATCCGGACTGGCCTCGGTCCCGAGGAGTCTGGATAAAAGGGAGTCTACTGTAGATCACACAATTTAAGGTCCTTATTTATAACACTCTAAATTTCTACACCTACCTACCGGTGCTCTGAGTGTTGTAACAAATGTAGGATCTCTTGCTCCCCAATCACTTCGCTGCATCACTTTTGATGCTTTCTTTATTAAATCTTCAGGCTTTTCTCTTGGTTTATCATCCATATTTGGTTTTCCTTTTTGCCTTGTGTTGTCTTCTAAATTTCATTCTGATAATTCACAGCTTCTGTTACTAACTTTTTGGATGTGAATCAACTTCATCTTAAAATAAAGTACCTACTTTAAACCAATTAAAGACATGATGACAGAAATGCAATTACTCAGTCTGTGTCCTTTACCGAGGGCATGATTGGTCTATTTGATGGATGTTTGTTAGATAGTAGTACTTTTGCCAGTTACCAATGGTCATTTGCTATTTTATTATGATTTACTTATAGCCTTCTGTATATATACACCTTAAGCTTCACAATTCATGTTTCTAAATTGTAAACAACCTTATATTAAAAGTCTTCTTCTTCTTCTCTACACAGTTCACTTAAAAAAATCTGTTTAAAAATCTTATGGCGGTTTTTTAACCCCTTTAAGGTAAGGAATATCATTTAGGAAATTCATCCATATATAAATCCCAAAGTACCCATGAACTTTTGAGAAAATTACAAGTCACGCCCCCATAAACCATATACTTAAAATGTTCGTCATGACGAGGAACCTTGCGCAAAACTATCCATTATTTCATAAATTGCCCTTTAAGGTCATGTAATTCCTTTCTAAAGGGAACGTTCTTTCCATATACCTAATGTTAAAAATACCTCAGCTGTACTTATGTTTGTTGTTCTTTCAATTTATTACCTTATTAAAATGAGGTGTGATTATTTGTTTGTATTACTGTATTCTGTTTTGGTTATTTCAGCTTAACTTAACCAATCAATACCACTTATGAAGTAAAACGGGGAGAAGCACGTGGGTAACAGCTAGTTAAGCATTAAGGAATACAGTAGACTCTCAGTAATCCGGCAGATATAGGACCGTAATACTGCCGGATTAGTGAAAATGCCGGATTACTGGAATGTAATCAATAAAAAAACTTAAAATGCAATTAAAACACGTCTCCGAAGAAGATCACGTGATCGGAAAACTGCTATTGCCGTGATCGGGCATGACGACGATGACGTTTCTGTAATCGTGGGAGACGATGATAATGTCTACACAGCCGCGGGAGATAATCATGATTTTGCCACGATTGTTCATGACGATACGAAAACTGTATCCAGTTTTCCGTTATGAAATGTGAGTTTAGGTTTTAATGTGTTATTTCAGCAGTAAAAATCAAATGGTTTTTCAATATAACCTTGATTAATATAGTATAAATATTGAATTGAGCCTTAAGCTAATTTTACCGAGCTCTTTCTCTAAACTATGTGTTGTAAACTCACCTCATAATATTCATTTTAGGCTAGGCCTATTCTATAAACGTTTAAAGTTCATAAGTTAACAGAGATATACGAATTACAAAAGGTGTTTTATTGAAACAAATGAACAAACATGCAATGAGATTTAAAAGACTTAGCGTTATAATGAAAGGACTGACAATGGAGTGTGGGGGTTGAAATTAAAATGAAATAGAAGATAAGATTGAAATAAAGGTTCAAATAATTTAGATGTGCTATGTCTCAGGGTAGGGTGTCGTGCTGGCTTGAATGCTAAGAATTAATTAATTAAATAGTGTTTAAATAATTAAGGTGTTAATCTTACAAAATCCCAACAATGAAAAATCTAATTTTGATGTTGTCCAAAAAGGTAAGTCCAATGTGCACTGAATTTAAAAGAGTTTAAAAGAAAAGTTTATACTTAATTTTGAAAATAACAATGATGGAGTTGAGTCCTCTTGAGGTTTACTGTGATATAACTTGATATAAAGTGGTTTTCTTGATGATATTAATTAATTTAATTTAGATAAAATCTGGACTCCTTCTTTTAACTAACAGTTTCAACTTCCACTCTGGCTTCCTTCTCTCCCCAATCTCTATGTTGACATAATTAATTGTTGAACACATGGATCACTGTTTCACTGCTTCTTGAATTTTGATTCCTTAAGGACTAATTTTGAAATGATATTATAAGAAATTTAGATGTATTGCAACTCTCTTACATATTTAATAAATAATTAAGTTGTGGGATTTGTAAAAAAAATATTTAGGCTATGGAATGAATATTATTATAATGATTAATTGAACAGATTAATGAAATTGTATAAATTAGGAAAATGAATACTAGGCCAGCCTTTCTGAGGAGTGATTAATAACAAAGGTGTATGAACAGAAGTTAACATTTTAAGAAACTTAATACTAAATAATGAATGAATGAAATGAAATATTACAGTTTATAATGCAGTTGTCTGCTTGCATTATTGAGCGGAGCTAGCAAATTAATATCCAATACTTTTCTAAAGTCAATGGTACATCTGTTCCTCGTAAATGAGGTTAAATACTTGCAGTATCCAATTTCAATGGTATATTTGGTTCACATAAATGGAATGACTATTTGCCATATTTGCAGTATTCAAGGTCAATTAATTATAAGTCTAATTCACGTTAATGAATTGTCTACTTGCACTGCAGGAACCAAAGACTATGTTTCATCTGGTTTTCATATATTAAATGTCTACTTACAGTATCCAATGTCAACATTTGGTTCGCAACAATAAAATGCCTATTTGCAGCATCCAAAGTCAGTGGTCATTGGTACGTTTGATTCACTTAAATGAAATGGAATGCCTATTTACAGGTTCTAAAGTAATGGTACGACTGGTTCACGTAAACGAATTGTGTACTTGCAGTATCTTAACTTAATAGTACATTTGGTTCACGTAAATTGTCTTCTTCAAGTAACATGCCTAACATAACTATACATCTACATAACACAATAAACTAACATACAGTAACTATAACTATAACATGAAATAAACCCCTAAATATGGTGTTATTCTAATCTTATCTTAGTTTAAACAATAATAATTACGAGGACAGAGGTTTTAAAGTACAAGGTTTAATGGTATATAAAAATGATTGAAATAAGGATACAAAAATTCTCCAAGGGTGGGGATTCGTGCAGACTGAATCAAAAGATTTCGTTGATGCCTAATTTAAATTTTCAACAAGTACGGTAAGTTATAAATTAAATAATCTTTTAGAAACAATAAATAGGAAGGATTTTGATTTTAATGAATGTAGGTAAGTTGGGTCCAAATGGATGCTTGAGGAGTCTATTAATAGTCTGAGTTAATAACTTAATAAATGGAATTTTCTCACCAATCTTCTATAATAATAATTTTCTTCTTAACGTAGTCCTAAATTCTTCTTTCTTAAGTTAACTTGATTTGGATATTATGCCAATACTTTATTTTATAATTTCACAATTTATTTCACAACTAATAGTTTAAAAACTGTATGTTCTTCTTGGATGCTTTAACTGCACTGTCCTGTTCATTGTTGTAAATCCTTTCTTAAAATATGGGGTTCACATAAATAAAAACATGGTTGAATTTTACTTGTAATCTTGAACCTGGATGCACTGTATTTTAAATGGAGGAATTGTTCTGAATACTAATTTTGGATAAGCCAATGAATAAATTTTGATTATGAATTATATATACGTTGAGACAATAATGGTTTTAATAATATTAACAATGAACATGAGAGTGAAAATTTAAAAACGTACGTTTTCATGTCCCTGGCCTTTTACTTCGTAGATACTGGATTTGTAGTTTATTATTATGTGTTTTAATATTTTTTGGGACGGGGGCAACATACTACACACATTTATTTGGGTTTAAATAGGTTCTAGGTATTTTTTTCGTATTTTTAAAGGAACCAGGACATGATTGAGCCATGCGAACGAGATCATCTTGAAAATTAAGAAGTTAAAGGGGGCAAAGCCCGCAGGTTACAGCTAGTAAACTAAATAAATGTAATAAAAAATGTTTAACTGTTATTCAAATATTCAGAAACTAGCAACAGTGCCCGTTGTGGTTAAATACAACGGTCTCTAGTAAAATAATGGTTATGAAATCCATACACCACTTTACTCACTAATATTAATGGCACAGTTTAAGCACATAACATTAGAATCACACATTTAACATAAGGAACACACTTTAAACATAAATGCAAATTGTTAAAAAACAACAAAAAATCAAAGAAAAATTAAATAGATAACAATACTGTATAACAATAAGCTGTTGAATTATTGACACATGTTTCGTATGATTAGATTATGCATACTGGTAAACCAGTTATTGCCATCTATAGAAATAATTGGTTTTAGCGAATTTCCCTATAGGGAAGTAGCTATTACCGTACGTGGCATGGTAAGACCTAGGCCCGGGACCGATTTACTTTTTCATTTTGATGTCCCCAGAGACCAAAAACACAATTCGTTCAAATTTTTATATATGTATATCTATACAGGGTTAGTAAAAAGTGTGGAGACCCCCTGTTATTTTTTTAACGGCCCATACTAGAAAAACTAAACCTGGCACACCATTATGGCATGTTATGAAGTACTTTTTGGGCACAACCGCCACTTGGTGTTCATCCCCAAAATGGGGGATTTTGGGGGAAACTAAAAAATTTCAAATACAAAGACCCATCGAGTGACCCCTCATTTTGAAGGTCCTGGTAAAAGATGACCAACAACGCGAACTAGAGGTCTCTATCTCAGTTCAGTACAAAATGGCAGCCAATTGAAATTCTCATAAGTTCCCAAACCCAAAATGGGGGATTTTGGGGGAAACTCAAAAATTTTAAATGGTAAGCCCTATCGAGTGACCCCTCATTTAGAAGGTCATAATAAAAGAAAACTAACAACGCAAACTATAGGTCTCTATCTTAACACAGTAAAATATGGCAGTCAATTGAATATAAAATTGCAAGTTATTTCCGATTTCTAAAGATTTCAATCAGCTTCCATTTTTTACTGGAATGAGATAGAAACCTCTAGTTTGCGTTGTTAGTTTTCTTTTACCAGGACTTTCAACATGAGGGGTCACTTGATGGGGCTTATCTTTTAAAACTTTAAATTTCAAATAAACTTTTAAATTCAAATTCTGAGAATTTCAATTGGCTGCCATTTCTTACTGGATTGAGATAAAGACCTCTAGTTTGCGTTTTTGGTTTTCTTTTACCAGGAACTTCAAAATGAGGGGTCACTCGATAGGTCTTTGTATTTGAAAGTTTTGAGTTTCCCCCAAAATCCCCCATTTT